CTGTCATGAAGAATTGCATCTGCATTAAACAATAAAAATATAACACAAATTTGAATTTTAAATTAAACTTACTATTAGAAGAATTAAAACCCAAATGCTGTAATTTGAAAATGGGAAAAAAATGTGGTTTATATTGAAAAAAGCAAGGATTTTTGTCTGAAAAGTAAATATATTTTACACACACTGGAGGGGCTCTATAGGATAAGTAAAATAAAGTTGGCACATTAAACATGTGTACATTAAAGAATATATTTCTTTCGTTTTCAGGACTGGAACAATTCGTACACCACACTAAACGCAGTAAACACTTGACCATAAGCTCAGAGAAATCATGGAACTGATTTTTGGTTTACATCGACACGCAGTCTCATTGGATATTGATGTAGTTTATCGGACAAGCTCTCCTGGACGAGAGCAAACCAGCTCCCCATTCAATTTTGAGTCATCAGTTACCAGAGGGTTAAAGCGTGCACTTGAATTCGACTTTAGCAGACGATAGCAGGAACGCCTCTTGCGAGCTAACATTTGCAATTTATCAGAGCGTTGCACTTGAATTCGCCCCTTTGTTTCAGACGATAATAGAGTTGGCACTGGTTCAACCCAGTGCTCATTGGATTTAACTTAGATCGACTTATTAATAAGCGCCGTCTGTTGAGCGTTATATTAGGTAAATTCGGCCTGGACAAGGCCAACTTATACTCAAGGCCTGCCAGACTGAACGAAATTCCGGTTCCCAGTTTTCAGTGGCTTTCGCAAAATTCATCACTAGGTGGCGCTCGCATTTCTGCTACATTTTGCTATACGCTCACTATTTGTAACGTGGTTCATTATTAACAAAAAGTGTTTTATGGCTAGCTCTGTATTTAAAGGATACTAACGATCTGGGTTTTTTGGTAACTTTATATGCATATAGGTTTAAATTGTGTATATACATCAATGAACTCAGTTCTGAATATCATTCTGCTCATTTAATTCTGAAATTTTGTGCATTAATGTTGTTATTTTCAAAACTTTGTCTGTAAATTCTTCTGATTAATCTGGAAGGGGAATAATACACATGGATTTATGTCAGCTAGTTACATTAGGTAATGTATCAAGATGGCACTCATTTATAGTGTGTTAATAGTGATAATTGGTTTGTGAATTCAGTAATTTTATTCATGTATATATATTTCTTGATAATGAACTATATCAGTATCTCACGCTGACAGCCAAAAATTTGTACACATGTTTCTGATAATGTGTATGTCGGTAAAATTGTTACCTGCTGTATATGTAAGGGCTCACTTAATAAGCTTGTTTTTTTTGCCTAACTTTATATGCATATAGGTTTAAAATTTGTATAACCTGTCATTTTTCATGTATACATTATTCTTGATAATGAACATATCAGTATCTCACGCTGCCAGCCATAAATTTGTACACGTGTCATTCTGTTTTTATATGTGTAAAAAATGTAAAAAATGTATCTCACTGTAAAAACTATATCAGTTATCACTGCCAGCCATAAAATTTTGTACACATGTCATTCTGATTAATGTTGTATGTGTGTAAAAATATCTAGCTGCTGCATATTTAAGGGCTATACTTAATAAGCTTGCTTTTTTGCCTAACTTTATATAGGTTTAAAATTGTGTATATACCTCATTGTACTCAGTTCTGAAATTATCATTTTGCTTATTTAATTCTGAAATGCTTGTGCATCCAATGCTGTCATTTCCAAAATTTTGTGTGGAACTTTCTTCTGATTAATCTGGAATGGGAATGGTACAGATGGATTTATATCAGGTAGTTGCATGTAGGTAATGTATCAAGATGGCACTCATGCGTATTGTGCTTATAGTGATAATATTAATTCAGAAGTCAAACAACAAAAATCAGCGTTATATCACAAAATTTTCACAGGACTAGTTTCGATGGTTTACCGAACCATCAATTCAGCTGCAAAACCGCAAATGAACAAGATAGGAAATAATGATTAGATAAGATAAGAAAGCCTGGACAAGAATAAGCAAGTGGCGCCATCTGTTGGTGAAACCAGAACTAAAACATAATTCTCTAAAACCGAAGGCAAATTTGGATTGGAATTAGAATCGTTAACTAGAACAGAAGATTTTTATGAATGTGAAATGCTTCTAGAAAATCCAGTTCTCCAATGGAAGATGTTTTTTGAATAATTTTGGCAGCAGAAAATTGAAAGTGTGATTTTCGGACCAACAATGTTGAGCAACAGAAGACTCTGTGTTTCCTTTTTTCTAACATATGCCTCATGTTCTTTGACGCGAAATTTTAAGGCTCTCTTAGTTTGACCAATGTAAATTAAACCCACTGGCAAGGAATCCTATAAATACCCCAGGAATTCATATCCGGAATGGGGTCCCTTGAGTATAGAAGTTGGAATTTATTGATGGGAGAATAAACAACCCGAAAGTTAAATTTCTGCGAAATATGTGCAACTTTATAGCTAATTGATGGAAAGAAGGGAATGACAACAGAATTTTTAATATCTCTAAAAATAAGAGTGTGGCTTTTAGTGTGTGAGATGACAATTTTTTAACTGCTTGATTAATAATGTTGGGTGAAAAGCCCCTGTCAATAGCTATTGCTTTTAAATAATTTAGTTCTTCATCAAGGGCTAGTTTGGAGGAGCAAACTTGAAGAGCACGGAAAACATAGAATAAAATGAAGCTAACTTTGTTTATTTAGGAGATTATAAAAATTCTGTTGTCATTCCCTCTTCCATGAATTAGCTATAAAGTTGCACATATTTTGCAGAAATTAACTTTCGGGTTGTTATTCTCCCATCAATAAAAATTCCAACTTCTATACTCAAGGACCCATTCCGGATATGAATTCTGGGGTATTATAGGTCCTTGCCAGTGGTTTCAATTTACATTGGTCAAACTAAGAGAGCCTTAAAATTTCGCGTCAAAGAACATGAGGCATATGTTAGAAAAAAAGGAAACACAGAAGTCTTCTGTTGCTCAAACATTGTTGGTCCGAAAATCACATTCAATTTTCTGCTGCCAAAATTATTCAAAAAACATCTTCCATTGGAGAACTGGATTTTCTAGAGGCATTTCACATTCATAAAAATCTTTCTGTTCTAGTTAACGATCCTAATTCCAATCCAATTTGCCTTCGGCTTTTAGAGAAATTATGTTTTAGTTCTGGGTTCGCCAACAGATGGCGCCACTTGCTATTCTGTCCAGGCTTTCTTATCTTATCTAATCATTATTTCCTATCTTGTTCATTTGCGGTTTTGCAGCTGAAGATGATGGTTCGGTAAAACCATCGAAACTAGTCCTGTGAAAATTTTGTGAATATAACACTGATTTTTGTTGTTTGACTTCTGAATTAGTATTTATTCGGCGTGTTATTGTGTCTTAATTAGTGATAATATTGTTTTGTGAAATTCAGTAATTTTATTTCATGTATACATTATTCTTGATAATGAACTATATCGGTATCTGACGCTGCCAGCGTGTAAATAAATAAATTTTGTAAATAAAATTTTGTACACACGTCATTCTGATAAATGTTGTATGTGTGTAAAAATGTCTACCTGCTGTATATTTAAGTGATGCATTTAATAAGCTTGTTTTTTTGCCCAACTTTAAATGCATATATATCTAAAATTGTATATATACCTCATTCTACTTAGCATTGTGGGCATGTGTGATGGACATATTATTTATATTCAGCCATTGCAAGTTTTCAAATTTTATCCTTGATATACAGAACTGAACTTTCTTAAGTATATTGTGATTATGAGAGTTATTTTTTTGGTGCTGTTAAAATATATTTATAATGCTTATGTCTCTTTATTTATAACAAACAGATCGATTTGATCAATAGCTTTATCAAAAATGTCATTATTTTCATTTGAAAAATTGAAGTTTCTCAACACTGAAAATTTAAATTGATGCAGTGCACTTAATTCAGTTACTAGTTTCTTAATGTTAACATCAATGAAATTTAGAATACAAATGAAAGTGAAGAGAAACACACCTGTGTAATATTAAAATTAGTCAAAAAAGCAACTTTGGGTTTGAGTTTCATTCAAAATCTAGGCCACAGTAAGACCCCCTACCCTTTTTTTTTTTTTTTTTTTGACTAATAATTTTATAATGTCTTTGAATATCTGCAATGCAAATACTGCACAGAGATCAAAATCTGCATTATTTAAACTTTTATTTATTGTTTAAGATTTCCTAAAAACAGGTATTTAATAATTAAAAAAAATTCTTCATTTAATCTCTTTAAGTAACATTCTTACTTTAATCTCTTTAAGTAACATTCTTACTTTAATCTCTTAAGTAAATTTTACTTAATCTCTTTAAGTAATATTTTTACTCCAATGTCGTGGAAACAGATATACAAATTTTAGATCACGGTGTATTAATTAATATGCTAATTACATCTTTGATAAGGGATACTAAATTATTTTTTGGCCCAGTACAGCCGATAGAAATATTTTGAAAATTTTTCACTGAAATAGTACATGATCTGAAGCTATCTGTTTACTTCTTACTATATAAATAATTAAAAAATAAGGTGTATACTCTGAATTACCTCTAAATTAGAATAAATAGTTGTAATGCGTACAATTCAGAATAGCGCATTTCTAGATCAAAGCAGGAATTAAAATCGAGATCAAATAGCTGGTGTTTATGTGGAAAAAAAAATAAATAAAAGGTGAGATAGCTCAAAATTCCATGCTTTCCTTCTAATTAAAATATATTTACTAATAAGAAATCAACAATTTCTGACTACTATAGATTAATCGTTTTTAAACTTCTGCATATAACAAGACAGAATTCGTTTTTGGTACTTTTCCTGATTTTTGTAAACATCGCAAAGTGTAGCAGAATTGTAGCGCCATCTTGCAGATCAGTAGGAATATCACTCAGGCAACCGAAAACACAAAAGAATATTTTCACACTGGCAGGCCTTGAGTATAAGTTGGCCTGGACGAGGAAGAAATTTTGCGAAAGCTGAATCTACAAGCTGTGTGAAGTTTCATGTTTGATGTTGTTTACAATTTGAAGGAATACGTTTTAAATAGTTATTGTTACATAAGTGAAGACGTATTGCTGAAACATGTTGGTTAGTATTGTGAAAAACGGTATTTTCTGTAGAGATCCCGTAAAAAGATCGATATTAGCAGTATCTTCTGTATATCAAACTGACCGTTATAAATCTAATGCGTCTCACGAGAAATTACCGGATAACATTCAAATATTAAAGTCAGTAAGCCAGTCATCATCAACGGCTGCTCTGAGAGTAAAAACAATTAGCAAAGCTATGAAAGCATACTTAGAAAGATCCAGAGGCCATGAAGATTTTCTAAAAGTTAAAAATGAGGAATTTGAAATAGGCCGTCAGCATTTAGCAAATATGATGGGATTAGAAGTGGGAGATATGTCTCAAAATGATATTGACAAAGCAATTGAATATTTATTACCCTCTGGTCTCTTTGAAAAAAAAGCAAGACCAATTATGAAACCCCCTATACAATTGTATCCGAAAGAAAAGGCTGCTCAGTTTGATGCGAGCGGTAGGCCATTCAGCCCTTTTTTCTATACAGGTAAAAGTAATTTCTATGCGGCAGTGCATGAGTTAGTTACAAAATTTCATGAACTGGATGCATTTGAAGACTCGATGATTAAGAAGGGCATTTGCAACCTTCCTGAGGAAACTGCTCTGAATTTGTCTGGAGGTGATTGGCTCTCTAAAGATGAAATGCAAAGTATGTTTTTGGAAATATTAACTGATACAGAATATGATTTTCTAATTACAACTTTAACGAGATTGGGAGGTCATCCGTATTCCTTTCGCTGCAGTGATTTAATTTGGAAATTCAGAAAAAAATTTCCAGATCTAGCAGATGAGATCATTCCCGAACTTATGACTGATGAAAACGGTAGACCATATATGGAAATGATGGGCTACCGAAAGCTGTGTCAAGCTAAAGTTATAGTTAGGGGCAATGGCACTGGGAAAGTTTCTATCAATGGTACTGACATTTTTTATTTTGAAAGATTACAAGATAGGGAACAGATAATGTATCCACTCCACTTTACTGGCATGTTGGGATTAGTCGATATTGAAGTTGATGTCAGTGGAGTGGGTGAATCTGCACGAGCTGGTGCTATACGTCTGGGTCTTTCTTTGTGCTTAAGAAGTTTTGTTCCTGAGTTAGCCGAAAAAATGAGATTAGCTGGTCTCTTGACTCGTGATCGTAGGCGAAGAGGCCGAAAGAAGCCAGGCCAGAAAGGTTGTCGAGCTAAATTCACATGGAAAAAACGTTAAATGTGATATTTTGGATCTGAAGTAATAAAAAGCTCTAGTGAAACAAAATAAGGAAGTTTACTTAATCATCACCATTAAAAAAAAAAATTTAAAAAAATTATCCATTATGTTTAAGAAAAATTATGTAATTTTTTGGGCTTATATTCTTTCTTTTTATGTTAATAATCTTGATGTGATAGATTATTAATCTGTAAAATGAAGAAATTTGTAATAATAGATGAAGTTTTTTTCCCTCAAATGATAAAAATTATTTATATATTAAAAAGTTTTTATGGATATACATGTAATACTTAATCTGAATATCAGTGATTTAGCAGGTATTGTTTGAATGAAATATACAATTTATTAAAATTATTGGCAGCCAAAAAATGTTTGGTATTACGTTGGGCAAGAATACATTTTAATGCATTATCTGAAAACCTGTCAAATGATCATGAAACACTTTATTTAACTTTTCATGATCACAGTGTTTCAATATCATGAAACACTTTTATGATATGTAAGTAATTATGTACAGCTAAAAGCTCTTTCTCTTAGAAAGTATGCTTTCAAAAATCTGAGAAATTGGGGGAGGGGGTTAGTTTGCATTTATATTCACAAAAAGAAAAAAAATCCCTTTCAGTTACTGCATGCATATCAATCTTGGAACAAAACATCAGCAGTGATTTTTATCCACTTTCCATTGCCGAGCTTTGATACCAGTAAATAATTAGGATAGTTGGTATTTTAACTTATTCATGGTTTGAAGAATACTTGCATAAAAAATTCATATCTGTTCATATGTAAAATATAAATTTATTTTAAAAATGTGAAAATAATTTTTATATGTGACACTGTATGAAACCAACAAATTTTACATCTAGTCCTCTTAAAAGCGCTAAATAGTACCTTTATTTTTGTTATAAAATAATATCTCAAAGGTAAATGATAGATGGAATGACAAAAAGCGTATAAGTGGGGATTTAACATTATTTGCAATTACTTATCAATTTTAGTTACCTATTACCAGGTGCTTAAAAAGTTAATTTAGAAGAAAATCTTGTAATAAGAAATGTAGCTTTCTTATATTTAATACAAAATAGCATTAAAATAAATGTGCTTCATAACAAAAGCTTGACTATCTGGAAACCTTTGAAAATACCAGATATGAGAAAGTTCTGGATAATTGAAAATATAAAAAATACAGTTAATGGTAAGAAAGCCAAATGAATGAAAGAAAAAATTGTTGGTCTAAAATTATGAAAGCAATCTTATTTGTTTTCAGCTTGAATATTAAAAGCCTACAGTCAACATTATGTAAGGATTTTCTAAAATTGCATTTCAGATGTAGAAACCAATATATTTTTGTAGGCTTAACACATTGACTGCCACGGCACTTTTTGGATTCTGGTCCGAGAAGCCAAATAAATTTATTGTATTATATTGTTAAAAATACTAATTATGGTTCGAAACAATCATTAAAATGTTTACAGCATATTTTTTTGGTAGAAAAAAGAATCCTACGAATTATCTCATATTCGGCTTTTGTTAGACAAAGCGGTTAATCTTTGGATTATGGTAACTTGGCGATTTTTTGGCGACCAACCCTGCTACAGCAACCTGCTAGTTTTGTTTTGGAAGCCATTTTGTTTTCATGAAGTGTTAGTTGTGCATTAGCACTGAAGGCGTAATGAGTACGTTTCCTCAAGCACAGAATTAAAGAATCATAAGTCAAAAATTTTAACTACGAAATCTTTATTTAATAAAATAGAATAATTTTGCTTAACTTAAGCATAACAATAAAGTAATAATCTTCACGGACATTAAAACACTGAAGTATTGAAAAGGAGATAACTTACATAGAATCATTCTCAGTCCTAAATCACCAGGCTTACCTATATTAGGCAATAAGAAAAATAAACAGGAATATACTTTGACACCGCACCTGAAAAAGAGAAAGTACTACTGCATTAGACCTTTGGCCAGGTACAAGTAATTAGGGTGAAAATCGAATATACTGCATTGCACACGAACTTTGCTTTCTCTTGCCAACATATATCTTGGCGCACGTTCGTTTCATATGCCTTTCAAGTTTCATTATGCAAAATACCTAAATTTATGCTAACATGAAGTAAAGGCATTTTTTTTTTTTTTTACTCAACGTTTTTTCCAACTATCTGCTAGCCGAATTATGCTTATACTAAAACTTTTATGGAACAAAAATGCTTAATCATGATGAAGATTAGGTGCGAAATTGGGAGAAAGTGCAGAATCGCAAACTGCTTGCCATGTTTTGAAGAATTGCACATACACGGTATTATCCATGTACACGCCGACGTATTTACACTTAAAAAAACATCCCAGAATTGCACAAAAATGGCATTGCGCACACTCTTGACTTTATCCATGTACACTGCTAAAGTCCTAGCTAATAACCTTTATCGCCTTACCAAAATGTCGCCAAACTATCTGTTACCATAGTCCAAAGATTAGCCGACAAAGCTCTTCTCAGAAGCCCACTACGAGTTGATTTGTACAAACAGGCTTCAATATGTCTGTACTTTGTCGCCTCGGTACAGCTAAAACAAGTGTGAGTAACTTGTAGCAGCGCAAAAGTGGCAAGTCAAGAAACTACGAGATAACTCGTATTGGACGTTCTGAAGAAAAGCGCTAATACGAGTTATCTCGTGTTGGGCAGTGAACGTGTTAAACATTATGAAAGTAAAACAACTTATCTGATTATGAAATTCCATCAATCATAAAATTGCCAGATATCCCAAGAGGAAAGATGTTTGAAAAGAACTGCATTTTTTTTTTTTTTTTCCGTTATATAATCAAGAGTTGCAAATTAAGGGTATGGCGTATAAAAATGTTAAATTTCTTGTTGTAATTTTTCATACTACACCATCATTTAGCCATTTTCAGATAGTCATACATTGAGGCCAATAATTTCTTTTTCTTGATGGCAGGATCTGGTATTTTTGTAAATACTCCATTGAATGCAGTTCCATGTAAGACATCCCAAATTTTAACTTTTTTTTTAATGTGACTGAAAAACAGTTAACGGTATAAACTTCATTCTTCATCACAAAAACTATGGTCACATGGTCTTATAATTCACAAAAACTATGGTAACAAGGTATGGATCATCACAAAAACTATGATAACAAGGTCTTATGATTATATTGTAACATCATGCCTAGTCATTATATGCCTGAAATCGCAATGTTTGGTGACAGCTTTTGTTTGTTATACAGTACAAAGTCTACGGCGATTACGGATTTGGGATTTTTCTGGGAATTAAATCATCAATTTAAATTTGGTAAGATGACATGCAGAAATTATACAATTAAAAGTATGAAATAAAGAACAATTATGATCTAAAGGGTATCAACATTTACAAAAAAAAAGCTTAATATTTATTTGCTTACTTTATTAAACATTTCTTTCAATGTAAGTTGTTTTTTTCTTATGTCATATACACAGTTGACTTTCCAGTGCCATACTCCTTGCATAATTGTGAGACGAATATGCCTTTATCCATTTTTTGCAGCAATTCCACTTTTTGTTTAATGGACACTGCTTTGTAGATCCTTTGGCAGCTCCAGAATTGGAAACTCCTTTCAACATAATCGAAAGTTCAAGCTTAGTTTTTATAAAATTTCTGTAATAACGATAGACTGCAAAAAATAATAGCTGGATCAAATTAGAAGATCAGGAAGCAGCAGTCTGCAACATTAATTGAAATGCTTTAAAATCAGATAATTTTAGCCTAACTTAACCCTTCAGCACACGCACATCAGTGTGCTACATTAGTACACGTGCGGGACAAATTTTACCCCAGTGTTTGTTGCTCGGAATTTTTACCCCAACGCATAAGTAAATGCATTTTCAATATTGCTTACCTAAAGTAAGCCATAAAAATCGAAATTTATACAAAATTACTAATTTGTTTAAGATGCATTTATATGATTTCTTAAATTAGAAAAATCAATTTTAATATGTACTTATCTTTTAAACTTTTAAAGAGTTTATTTTAAAGGGTGTTTTTTGATAAAGCACTATAGGAATATTAAAAGCCCGCATTCTTACTAGCTTTTTCAATAAAATCTAATATAATGTCATACAATTAATTATGCAAATGAAAGAATAGATTTTAAATACAAATATTAAAAAAAAAAATAAATAAATAAATAGCTCATAGGTTTTTTTTCTCTTACCTGATTTTAATTATTCTAACTATCTCGTTTTGAACAATCCTCACATAGTGTTACAACGTGTATTTTACAAACCAATTTGTTGCAATTTGTACAAGATACAGAGGTTTTGCGATCGCCTCTTCTGTGGCATATATCACAGCGTCCTGAAGTCCTTTTTTGGAATTTCTTAGGTTGAAGATGTGCTGCATCTTCTATTCCTGCCAACCTTTTTACACCAGTCTTGAGTTCCTTCGAAAGAGATGGAATTTCAGCCCTTTTTAGGAGATGTTCTTTTACAAGCTCTAATGATAAATCTTTGAGAAAAGCTCTTCGGTTCATATTCACTTGATCATTATTTGATCTATGAATAATAAAAGCATTTATACCCGCAATGTTCATTAGTCTGAAAAATACCGTTAGAGGCCAACGGTGGCACTTTCTTGAAACTGAGTAATTTCCACATAACTCATCTACAGTATCAACACCACCTTTTGTAGAGTTGTAAAAAGTTATCATTTCGGGCTTGAGCTGCTCTTTTGACAATAGATCAATTTGATTATCCTCATGCATGGATGATAGAACAAGAACTGATTTATTCTTTTTTGGAACATATGATGTAAGAGTTAATTCTTTAGCTCTAAACCCAAAAAGTGAAGAGTACAGGGGCCTATTTTTATTTGGCAGAAATTCTTGTGGAATTTCACGCTTATCTTTTTGAAGAGTTCCAACACATGTCAATTTGTGTTTTTTTCAATAATTCATTGGCCAAAGGAATGCTCATGTACCAATTGTCCATAGTTATGTTTTTTCCTGTGCCACTTATGGGTGCAATAAGTCTTTGTACAATATGCAGTGCCGCATTTGATTGTCTATATGGACCGACAGGCTGCTGACCTGCATAAATTTCTAGGTTGCATGTGTAGAAAGTGCGAGAATTGCACAAAGCAAAAATTTTTATTCCATATTTTGCGGGCTTACTTTTTATATATTGTCTAAATTGACACCTTCCTCGAAAGGGCTCTAATTTTTCGTCTATAGTACAATATTCAGATAAAGAATATATGTTTTGTATGTTTTTGATAAATTTTTCAATAACAT